ACATTCGTGTTGGACTGGACCTTATGCACAGTAGTGATTGCAAGATTCGGCTCTTAATGAACGAGCTAGAACTGTGCTGTTGTTTTCCCCTCTCTTTAAAGCAAGGAGCCTGAATGGTCAAATGCTACCATGGATAAACAAGATCCCAATTGAGTGTTAATTCACCACAAAATTTCCGAGTGGTTACTTAGAAACACTATTTATACAAGCTTCTGTATCCCAACAATTTAACTGAACACCCTGAACATTTCAGGGTTATTACTTTTTCACTTTTCAAACCAAACCGAGATGCAGACCCACATGGGAAGATCTACAGTTCTGCTCAGTGCTGGAATCATCCTAATCAATGAAAAATCTGGCAGTTAAGAGGCAGCTGTTAGCATTTCTTAAAACAAGCGCCCACAAGCAGAATGTTGAAGGTATTAAAATATTGCCTTGAAGCTCTAATAATGGAAGCTGTCTGCACAGATATTTCTAAACTAGGGATTAGGCAGCTCTGGGCTTGTCTCCGGAGACCAGTTTGCCTGATAGCTGGTAATGTGGGTTTAATTTAGTTTTAAACATACAATTATGAGAGCCTTGCTGGAGGAAATATGCAATGATTAGGTCTCCTCAATTGACCTAGGGCCTCCTGCACCCCTGGCTGGCAAAGATTTGGTTATACAAGGATTTGGATCTAAATCTTGAATTCTGGGTCCTATAAAGAGAAGGAAAAACAACCACCTGGGATTTGAAAATTAAAAAACTTTAGGGATAAACTGAAAAGGTTCATGGACACAAGGATACTTCAGGGGTGTAGGCAGGAATCAGGAGGGGAAAAGAGAGCAGTTCTTTTCCTCAAGAGTAAGGAAAAAAGGTCAATTTACAGAAGAGTTCATTCCTTGATCTTCACCCTTTCCAAAAATAAACCACCTGCTGACATGAGAAGCGTGGCTTCGCCAACCTCTCCCCTTGTTGTAACATGCAATTGCTAAGCCTGATCTCTCCTTTGAAATGTCATCTCTGGTTTGCTGGATCAAACTCTAAATATGGGTCTCTCTTTTCCCCTTGACAGGTACGTGTCTTTGTGAACCAACTGTACCGGCCAGCCGTAGTGAAGGACGTCAGTCAAAACCCCGACTTGCAGGCCATCCGCATTGCTTCAGTGAACCCCATCCTGGACCCATGGGTCTACATCCTTCTCCGCAAGACAGTGCTCAGCAAAGTCATAGAGAAAATCAAGTGCCTCTTCTGCCGCATTGGAGGGGCTCGAAGGCAACACTCTGGCAGCAATTTCAACTGTGCGGATGGCCGCCGAACCTCCTCCGCCATGTCCAGCCACTCACCCTCCTTCATCTCTCGGGAGCTGAGGGAAATCAGTAGCACCTCACAGACATTGCTCTACCCTCCAGAGCTAAGCGAAAGTAGCACTGGGGGTCGCATGCTGCTGCCGGGAGCCAGTGCTGGTCTCGCTCAGTGTGACACTACATCAGTTAGGACACTACGCAGCTCAGAGACCTCAGACTCTTTGCCGGGACAGGACTCAGAGAGTGTCTTTCTGGTGAATGAAGTCGGGTCTGGTGGCGAAGCCAGCTCTATGCCCAAAAGCAGCTCCCTCCAGGTCACCTTTCCCAGTGAAACGTTGAACTTATCAGAAAAGTGTATATAGCAATGAAAGGAATCACACACATGTGATCCTTTCCCAATACTTTGGACAAACTGGTGCAATAGACACACACTCTGCCTACTAAGGGGTCGGGGGTCAGCTACACTCTGAAGGGCTATTTTTCTCTTGCCATGTGATGGGTACAGTTCTTCCAAACTACTGAGGATCATACCATGGAGCAGTTGCTACAGTCAGGCCCTGCCATCACAAAACATACAGGACAGATCTAATGGGTTTGGAAACATACACTGTTATTACCTTGTATTGCTCTGTGACATAGGATTGCTGCTGGGACTCTATGGCTGAAAAGATCTGTCATTTTTTGTCCAAATCTGCTAGAAACGTATTTTCTCTCTCTCCTCCCGCCAAAACTATCAAGGGTTTAAGTCTCTGGGTACTAGAGAGCTGAAGGCGAGGCAGTTACTGGGAACTGGGTAGAGATACTATGACAACTGCCTGGTGTACAATTTTAAAGAGTCTCACTAATGCGTGATAATGTGAATTTTTATTGCTGTAAATATCATTTAAAATATTTAAAAGTCTGTTCTTCTCTATGAGAAGGTTTATTATTAATACAAGGTATATAGAAACAATTGCCAGCCTTCATTTCCTCTGAATAGTGCCGGCTGATGATAGACAGTCTTGAGTTAGGTTTGTTTTACAAACAAGTTTACAGGCAGAGGGAGAACTAGTTCTCTAGATGGGAACAAATAAAAACTTTTTGAATTAAATGGAAACATTTTGTGCTATTAAGGGAGAAAACACACCTTTTAAGTTTAAAATATTCTTTCCAGTGTGTGTACATTCTAAAAAGCTAGATTTTATTTATGTGCTGTGAATGTTTATCTGCAGAACACAATTTCTCCTTTCTAAGTAGTAAGGCCCCAACCTTGCACTCTTACACACATGCTTAATGTCACTCACGAGCAGTCCAACTGAAGTCAGCCGGACTCTTCACATGAATAAAATTAAGCATTTGCATAAATTGCTTTTGGGATTGGGGCCTAAATCTTTCAATCCCTGGTTAATATTTTTAATATTCACTCTAGTTTAAAAATCACCAATGTACTAAAGATATTTTTCATAACATTTGTCATTTTACTTCAAATAAGTAAAAAGAATCTTATGATTGTGTAATCTGATATTCCATCAAATAATCATATGAAACAAGCAAAGCAGAATCTTCATTACGAAGTACAGGTATATAATCCCATACCCCATACTCAGCCCCAATGAGAATTATTTACCACTAAGATGTAGTGCCAACCACATCACTAAGAATAACTGTTAACCAGTGATGAAAAGGAGTTTTGTGTTTGTTTGTTTCTGTTTTAAAAGATAGATCTTGTTCCAGCAGCATTGTTGTATCAAACATTAATTCTGTATAGATCTTTGGAAAAAATTTGTCAAAGAAATATTAAGCATGTTATGTTGCTTACAGTGTTTTCATGTGAATTGCTTTATTGTAATTAAAATCCCGAGCCTGATATTGATGATATGTGTAAGAAGCAGTTGTACTGACCAAAATCATTTTGGAGATCGCAATTAAATGGAAACATTCCGCTTGAGTTCAGGAGTTTACGCAAGTCTTTAATTGTGTGTGTAATTCACTCAGTGCCAGCCCATCGGCCCTCATCTTAATAAACCACAACTTTCAAAGCATGCTATTTAACAGCTGTCAAAATGTACTCCTTTCCTTCCGTTTCCAAAGCACTGCAAAGGGCGTTAGCTACACAACTATCACCGTCAACAAGGAGTCATCTTGCAGAATCTCTGTTGGGAGTACAGCTAGATGAATTCTTCAAAAACACACTTGAGTCTTCATTCAAAATTATTACATAAAAATCTTTGGCTGTGCTCTCACCCTTGCTGTGCTTGCTTTCCACTAACGGAGCAATTGAGTTCATTCATTTTACCTGAATGAATGGATGTAGAAAGTGAAAGGTACGCCAGCACACACAAGTACTTGCATTAGAAGTGCTATGTATTACAGTCTATAAGTACCTGCATGAGGAACAAATATTTAATAATAGGCTCTTCCATATAGCAGAGAAAGGTATAACATGATCTAAAGGATGGAAGCTGAAGCTAGACAATTCAGACCAGAAATAAGGTGTACATTTTTAACATTGGAACAATTTACGAAGAGTTGTGGTGACTTCTCCTTCACTGACAATTTTTACATCAAGCTTCGATGTTTTTCTAAAAGATACGCTTGAGGGATTATTTTGGGGAAGTTCTATGGTCTGGAAATAACTCCTGAAGTGACGGTCTGCATCTAAAATTAATGGTCAGACTTCTCATTAGGCACAGAGGAGGGGTAAAATGCTCTTAGCCACTGCAGCTATCTGGGCATCCAGAATCAGATGTGGATCTAAAATGACCTATCAAAGTTGTGAACTTGTGTGACACTACCTTAGTTATATAACCTCTTGCATTCCTTCCCACACCTACCAATATTACCTGTATTTTGACTGAATTGAGCCTCAGCTAGCTAGCTCTCTCATATCCAGGTCCCAAACTCTGTCCATTACGTTGGAGAAAATTGCTATTTTTCTAGTATTGACTGGTCTCATGCTATCTCATTACTGTTTGTGTAACAGCCATCTCTGCTGCCTGTGTCACATAAGCAGTCCTCCTTCATCCACTCTTCATCTCTTTTCAAATTTAATTGGAAAGCATCTCTTTTCTCTTGATCTGATTTAGTCTGTGTTGTGGGGGGCGTTTAAATTACTTATCATGGTGATGAAGTGCTGCAACCCTTGCCTACATCTTAATTTCTCTCTCTAATTTTTAACTCTAACTGTGTGACATAACTATGTTAAGCCATGTAGTATACAGTATATTTGAATGGAAAATATATAGACAAAAAACTGTTCTTCCACAGTCTTTTATTGCTTGATCTTGCCATAATTGTGCCCCTATAAACCACGAACATTTTCTGTAGTTTTTCTACTAAACTAAGGTGTGAAATATTAAAGTATAAGTTGTTAGAAGCCTTGAAAAGTAGAAAATACCAATTTTGTTTCCATTGCTACCTCTAATTGCTTGAGGCAATAAATTCCGGCAGTTGAAGCATATATAGGTTTCAAAGGTATTTCCCTTTCAGTTCAAATGCTTTCCCTCTTTGGGACCGAAAACTCTTGCTTTGGCTAGAAGTTGGATATTTTTAAGTGTTGGTCAAGATTTTTCAATACCAATTTTTACTGTAATTATTATGTTTTAGAGTAATATACAAAAATATTAATACTTTCAGAAACAAAAGACAATAGGTTGATCATAACGTAACATACTAAATCTCCCTTAACTGCACACCTCCCTCAATGACCCAGCTTCCACAATAAACAGCCACCAATGATGAGCAGGGAAGTCCACGCTTTATTTACAATATGGAGATATCCAACAAGCAAGACCTAAGCATGCAAAGCACAACACACTGTACAACATTAGAATGAGCTTCATACCACCAGATGTCAAACTTCCCAATTTGGGAATAACACACCAACACAAGAAGCGTGCTAGGTGCTCCTTCATACAAGACGTTATTGCTCACCTCACTACTTGGAAGTAATAATCTAATTTAATCTAATCAGAGGGAAACGCATGTTCTGCACACTTGGGATGTAAGTGCTGACCTCTCAAACCTGGTCTAAAATCCACCCAAGTTGACAGTATGCAAGGGCATCCTTTCATGAGCCTGACCCTGAACCATTAATTTCCAATTAATTTCAATGGGAGCAGATATGGGTTTATATAAACTTGGGACAGGAGGAAGGAGGAAAACCCTTTGCACCCATGAATGTAGCATACACTGGAAGGCATAGAATGAAAAGACATATCAGGTCATCTAGTCCAATTCTATCCAAGTGAGACATAGCAAATATATCCTACCAATACATACAAGTAGAATTACAGCCCCATGCACAAATCTTCAAGTAGGAGAACTTCCCTGTACCTGAAAGATCTGCTCTGATTCCTCTCAGTGCCAACATTACCCTAGTGGAACACAGATTCTCTTGAGGCTGTGCAATAACAGGATGACCCTTTCATGGCTGTATAGACGGTCTTATTAACATATATAGTACAACAGTTTTACAGTGCCTGTTGATCCAACAAGTATAGGTTTATCAGTAATTCTATTATAAAGCCTGTCTTTGACGGATTAAGGAAAATTTTATCTGAGCTGAAATTTAGCCTATGAATATCAGCCCTGGACAAAATATGCTTTCCAAATTACAAAGGAAGAGCTTTAACTATTTTTTGTCACAGAAGGGAAAGATTATACACACACATCTCCCATATATGGGTGCTCTATACATTAGAACCCCACCCACGAAAGGGAGACCCATTATGAATTACTGAAATTTTAGAATTAACCAGCAAGCAAACGAAATGAAGCATCCTGTGTTCCTCGTGTGCAGCACAAGATGTATTTTGTTCATATATTTTAGCAAGTGTACACAGCCCCCACAAAGCAACAGAAATAAAAAGAGATGCTATCCAGAATAAGTGGCTTGTTAAAAACAAAAAATCATCGAACTCTTTATGAGTGCAGTGCCATACCACAAGGAACCTGACCACACAACACAGCAATAGATTCCCTTCTTTGTAGTCTTGCTGTAAAATCACCATAGCACAAAAAAGTTGCATCTAAAGATCTATTCCTAATCCATTCCCCATTGTGCACTGCGGACTCCTAACATTTTATGTACTGTTGCGTATAAGGCGATATACTTACGTATACTGGGATGAGTCAAGGTAAGAGCAGTTCCAGTCTCAATTTTGAATGTCCTTTCTTCTGTAGGTGCAAGTTAAATATTTAATAGTGCCTGAATGTGTGTGGTGTAATTGTTGCTTGGTTTTGCACCACCCTCCAAATAATGCATGAAGTGCCTGATCCAATGCCCACTGACATCAATGTGAATCTTTCCCCTGACCTCAGTAGGCTTGGAATCTGACCCCAGGTTTACAAGGACTATCTGTGATCTGTAACTTCTTCATAAAAAACCCTATCCTCTATTGAAAATAAAGACTTCTGAGAACAAGCTTTCAGAGTCACACTTCAATTGTGTTGATCTATAATGTTAATTATTAACAGGTTTGAGCTGTAATACTTAAATCACCTTTCTCTTTTCCAGTTTCTTTTTAAGTATCTGATAATTAATTACAGGAGAAACAGCAGATGTTGTTTAGACTGTGCAATTAAGAAATTGAGTTGGATGAAAGCAGTTATGATAATGTAATCCGTGTTTTCAAATTGTATGTGTGAAGTCTTACAATATGGGTTTTAATATCAACACGTAGTTGATAGTATGGAAGCAGCAGAAATTCAGGTCTTTGCTTATCTGTCGTTTTGTCATATTTTCTTTAAAACCCTTTTCCTCTGAAAAAGCTACTTCAGAAATAATGACCCCTTCTATTTTACCCTGTTCCACTGCTGCTAAAAAGAATTCTTCCAACACTTGATAAGTAACGTTAGATTTCCAAAGAATACTAGCAAAAGATTATGCTGCACTATCGGGCTCTGATAAAAACGGTATCATCGGGGGTTGTCGAACATTCCTCCTTCTCAGTTACGGTCTCTACTGTGCCTGAAGCAGACACAATCACTACTGTTTTAGTTGCTGAAACAGTTTTCTCCTTCTCTGCGATAGCTGCACAAACTGCCACAATCTCATCACTTTCAAAGTCATAATCTGGAATTGATTCATGGGCAACATCTGCTTCTTTTGCCTCTGCTTGCGTCGCCTTAGTCTTTGTTGCTTTCTTTTGCTGTTCATGCAGCTTTCTTGCCCAGGTAAGGTCTTCCTTCCATAGTTCAGGGCTCATTGGATAGATGTGCAAGGCCACCTGAAAGCTGCGAATTGCCTACAAATGAACAGAGTGATTAGCATTTTTTGAACTGACATGTTTAATCACAGAAATGAAAACAGCCTTCTAGATCGTTTAGTCCACCTGTGACTAAGATGACTGTTTAAGTATCTTTCTATTGCTCTGTCCAGCCCACTTTCAAAATCAAGTGACAGCACTTCTCCCCTTTTCCCTAGAATGCTTTTCCATGATTAGTTTTACATATAATTTGGGCCTGATTTTTGAAAAATCGTATGTGCATGCCTAATTTGTGTGAAAATAGAATGAATACATGAAGAAATCAGGTGCTTGCCCAGCAAACGGTTCATAACTTGCAATTGTCACGTGCAGATACCCAGTTCGTGCATGCAACTGTGCTAATTACCAGTGCAAATTAGGATTGCAATTGCACACACAACTGTTTGAAAATCAAGCCCTTATGAAAATACTTGCTATTATTTCAAATGAGAGTTTGGCAGAGGATTGAAGTCTTGAATATAATAAAGTGTTCTTTCACATATTTCAAGGCAGCAACAACCTTCATACAAATTAACCAATCCAATAATATCAAATATAAAACTCTCTTAAATGGTAGTGCCAAACAATGAATACTAATTTTCTCTCTCTGGAAACATGAACCATTCTGAACAGAAACACCATTTAAAAGCAGATCACAGAATTTCACTGTTATACAAAAGAATGACGAAATGCCCTAAAGCACAATGCAGATGAAGGGTTACATGTTGCTAACCCAAAATTATAAAAAGGGTCATTTCCCTATAATTATGCATTTTGACCACGCTTGTTGTAAGAGAGTTTAATGCTAATAAGAACATGACAAAATATACGATCAATTAAAAGAAAAAAATCAAGCCAAACTCATTTTATTTTGTTGGCTCTCCATTCTGCCTACCTCCTCCCCCCTACACACACACAAGAGGGCAAGAGCAGACAGATGCAGTTTAATTTAAAAGAGAAATCTGGATTATTGAGGTTTATAACCACCACCCACATTGCCCATTTAACTTAGCACATATCTCATAAATAGATCTAATACTATGCACTGATTTGGCCACAAGATTAGCAGCTTTCTGGAGCATGTAAACCTGATCTCATCAGGGAACTATGGCAAAAGACAAACTCTCCCACTTTGCGGAGCTGTTCAAATAAGTGGAGAACTTCTGTGAATGATCTAGCTTTCTTCCCAAGCAAGAATACTTACTATCTATTTGGACAGGTTTCAGAGGACAGGCCAGTCCTTGCTTACAGACAGCTCCCCAACGTGAAGCAAATACTCACCAGCAACCACACACCACACAACAAAAACACTAACCCAGGAACCTATCCTTGCCACAAAGCCCGTTGCCAACTGTGTCCACATATCTATTCAGGGGACACTATCATAAAACCTAATCACATCAGCCACACTATCAGAGGCTCGTTCACCTGTGCATCTACTAATGTGATATATGCCATCATGTGCCAGCAATGCCCCTCTGGCATGTACACTGGCCAAACTGGACAGTTTATATGTAAAAGAATCAGTGGACACAGATCAGACGTCAAGAATTATAACATTCAAAAACCAGTCGGAGAACACTTCAATCTCCCTGGTCATTCGATTACAGACCTAAAAGTCGCACTATCACAACAACAAAACTTCAAAAACAGACTCCAGCGAGAGATTGCTGAATTGGAATTAATTTGCAAACTGGACACCATTACATTAAGCTTGAATAAAGACTGGGAGTGGATGTGTCATTACACAAAGTAAAACTATTTCCCCATGTTTATTTTTCCCCTCTACTGTTCCTCACACGTTCTTGTCAACTGCTGAAAATGGCCCATCTTGATTATCACTACCAAAGGTTTTTTTTCTCTCTTGCTGGTAATAGCTCACCTTAACTTATCACTCTCGTTATAGTGTATATGATAACACTCATTGTTTCATGTTCTCTGTGTGTGTGTGTGTGTATATATATATATATATCTTCCTACTGTATTTTCCACTGCATGCATCCGATGAAGTGGGTTTTAGCCCACGAAAGCTTATGCTCAAATACATTTGTTAATCTCTAAGGTGCCACAAGTACTCCTGTATCTATTTGGAGTGACCACCTTCCCGTTTGCTAATCTAAATTGTGGCTGTCTCCAGCAAATCCAAGTACTAGGCATTCCAGGATTATCCAGGACAAAATGAAGACAGCAGTAAATCTCAAAAGTGTCACTGTCAGATCAGATAAAGGCTTTTACACTTAGTTATAAAGGGGAAAGTACTGAAATACTGGAAAAATGCTGGAGCACAAATTATAACTGATTAGATTTTAAATACAAATGGATTTAAGATTTACTGCATAGCCTTTGACTTACTATATGCATTGCTTTTCTGATATTATGAATTCACAGTAAAATTAAATTCACTGTAAAGTCAGTACCTCTTCACACAAAACTGACAAAACCTTCAAGCCAATGAAAAGTATTTTGATTCCTAAAAGCAACCACAGCCAAAGCTGACTGCTAACCAAACCAAAGTATTTTGCTTATGAAAATTTCCACCTGACTGATCCAAATTCAGCTACAACTGGCTACAAAACCATTGCTACTGTGTTGCAAATCAGTGGTGATCATGCTGAGATATTGTTTAGCCTTACAACCAATTTATATAGATACTTGACAAGAAAACAGACGTGATCAGCTGTTTAACTACAAAAGCAATGTTTTCCCTTTAATTTAGTGAGTACACAAAATATCTGAGTTGCTTCAAAATTCTCTGTCCTTCTTTTGGGTTTAAAGAGCTGCAAGTTATTCTTGTCAAAATACAGAGGAACCTACGTACTCCATTGCATAAATTGATCCTAACACACAAGAAATAGGAACCCATGATTTCTTTTAAGAATATGTTATTGGTATTGTTGTTCTGATAAACTGCCATTCAATTCCAGGAAAAATATATATATTTTTTATTTTGGAGGAATATTACCAACTCTAAAGGTTCTGCAATCAAGGGACTCCAGACACAGAGAACAGTACAGTTTAATTCTTGCAGAACAGTGTCATTTTACTGATTTTAAACAGCTTTTAACTTCAAGAGGATATTTGGAGCTGTGAGTTAATATTAAAATGCCCTCAACTGGAACTTCTTAAAGTATTGAAAAATGAAAACAAAAACATCCACTTAGGTTTTTAAATCCACAGGGCAGGGACCTATCATTGTCCATAAAGTACCATTCACATTTATGGCACTGTAAAAATATAATTATCATAAAATATAGATTAATAATTGTAGGCAGATAGACAGATGTTCTAGAGTCAACAACGCTTCTCTCAATATTTTGATGTGTAGCCTGGATATTTAACATGAATACAACAGATCATGCTCTTTCTGTGTAAGCCTAATATTAAGCTAAGTATTTGCATATTATAATGCTTAATATAAAGCGGTGCAGAAAACTGGTGGGATTAGCTTTATATCAGATCAAAGATCCTCATAAAAGTGCAGCACTGTAATGTATGGAAAACATTTTATGTTGCTATCAGAAATGTTTTAATGTTTATCAATTTCTGCCAAAATCAAGAATTGAAAACAACAGAAAACAAAGCAATCCATGAATCCACCCAATGTTGGTTAAAATATTTGTAACCACTTGCTAGTGCCCTCCCAATCTAGTTTGAAACACCCATACAGAAGATAAGATACTGGTTTTTATTCTTATTTCTCATCCAGTTTACATCTTTAATCACACAGACTGCTGCCCTAAATCAAATTCTGCAGGATAATACTATTATGCTAAAACCATTCATATCTGTGCAAATCGGCTACTTTTAATTCACATTTCTGGAACAGCTTCGACATCCCTCTAGTTTATTCTAATTGCTTAACTGGTATTTAAAAAAATATATGACACTAGCTATAGTCGAGACACAACTTTATTTTTATGCACATCTGTGCTGTGACAGCATCTGCTTTTTAGGGATTCCACCACTGTACTTTAAGTGCACATGTACTTTCTCTGGGAGCCTTTCCTTTGATATCCATTTTAATCCATTCTTCTCCACTTTACACACCTGAAAACCTCACCTTTTCAAAAGAGTTTATCTTGGTTATCGCTGTTGAACTGTGTCGGTTACACCTTTCTCCCATGAAGCATTTCCACAATTGGTTTGCAGTCTTTAGAAGAAAAAGGTGGTTTTAATCACACGGCTGTCTGTATAAGGAGCTATTTATTATAGGAAGAGCTAATAGTCACACCGATAGTTAAGACTGCCGCCAACACTTTCCATTGCAACCAGGGTGGATAAAAATCAATGATTCTTTAAAAAAATTTAAAAAATCGTTTTTTTAATTTAAATTGGAATTTTTTGATCTAAAGATAAAGATACATTATAGCTCAGAGATATCTCATCATGGTATAGGGATTATAAATTCTAATTCTATAGTATGAGACAATATATTCATGTAATGTTTAAGAAAAGTTTTGTAAATGAGTTCCAATAATTCATGGATTACGGACCCAATTTTATGGTGTTCCAGGGGCTTCTGTACAGATTATTTAGGTTAATCTTTCTATCTACCCAATGGGACTCAGTGCTCAGTCTAGAAGACACCATCAGAGATACTTAGTTTTGTAGTTCTCATACTGTGGATTTGTGTCTCTAGAGATAACATGCTTGTTAACAGCAAAAATACTTTCAAATAAATACATAAATAAATAGAGGTGAGAAATAACAGACCTCCACCCTACTGTCCCTCTGCACATGTGTCGCAGAGTCAACCCCTTACCTCTCTCTAAAAGTGCAAAGTTTCAAAAAGTCCAATGAATAGATTGTTGGGGGCGGAATAGATCTGGACAAGAAGAAGAAGAAATCTGGAGACAAATGAGAGAAGGGAGAGACAGGCAGTAGAAACAAAAGTGAAACTGTTTCAGTAACATATTCCAGAAGTCTTGAGGTCTTTCTGAGTGTAGCCTTCATTGATTTGAGATCTACCTTTCCATTCTCTCTCTAGAAGGGAAAACCTG